CTTCAGGTTTTCAAATGTGGTCATTCCAGCAATTTTTCTAACATCGCCTTGTGAACGAACAAGTTATGTGTACTCTGTTCAAGACAATAACAAATGAAGTGCAGTCTCACACACAAGCCATCAAGGCACCCCTTCATCAGTTCTTGGCAGCAGGACATCTTTGTCTCTGTGACAAAACTTATTTAAAACTGGATAAACACAGCCTAGGGTGCCAATAATGGGATTGGTTTGCAAAAAGAGTCTCGTTGCCCCCAAAGGACCTGATCGTAAACCTTCTGCAGTGCTTGGTACTCAACAGTGGTGCACAGCTGCTGGCACACTACATCCATGCTGCTTGGCACTGTGTTCCATAGCACACGTAGCAGCCATTTGGAGTCCCACAAAACACAAGCATCCCACCTGTGCTGCATGAAAGCTCAATTTCGACAACATTGCCAAGTCCAGGGGTGGAGATGGGCACAACCTTGCCCCTGGCTCTTCAGTGGATCCCACCTGGACAGACAAAATCGCAGGTAACACCGCAGGAGGAGAAAATGGCACAAACAATCAGAAACACTAAAATGATCAGCCATCAATGTCTGCAATGTACCCACATGCCCACATCGACTGCAACATGGCAACGTGTCAACGTGGCAACGCGGCAACAGGGCACCATGGCAACAAGAACTGCTGCACGGTTCCTGGTAAGTATTTTGACAATGATGCTCCATTATCCGCTCACAAGACCATGGAGGGCCAGCCTGAAAGTGCATTCTTGGCAGGTGCAAAGTGCTGGGTCAGCCATTCCTATTACCCACAGATTGTATTGTTCTATTTGAAACATCAACCTGTGCAAGATGAGAAAATGGGGCAGGCATGCAACGGGCAGGCATTTGAGCAGTGGTTGGTAGTCTTGCTAAACTGACATTCCCTCTTCTGACAGTTGTAAGCTCTCCAGTACCTTGTGTACCCAAGCCCCATAAACCCCAAAGCTACAAAAGCAGTTCATAGCTTCAAACTTCCCGAAGTGCCAATCTAAAGTCACTGAAGGAGGTAAGACCCACCTTTTTGGCCACGGCTGCGACTGGCACTAGTGCTCGTTGTGCTACAGCCTCTGCCGCAGGGGCCACTTCCTGCACCGCCTTGGACTTAAAGCAGCCAAACACGTTGATCGTCATGATGCTTTCCTAAACAAACCCCCTTGGATATGCACCAATCAAATCAAAATCAAACCAATTGACATTCGACAGTGCTGATCTCACCATACCACAGTCATACCAATTGCTGCTGCTGCACCATAGTGAGTGCAACCACTCATGGGAACCTCTTGAAGTTCTGCTAAATGTGAATAAGGCCCATGGGTTCTTGATCTGACAGCTTGGGGGATTGGCTTATGCTCCAAAGCTGCTCTTTTTCCCCTGGAAGTGTAGCAAATGTGTGGTCTGGCATGCTTGCTGGACATTAAACTTAGTGGCAGCACCAGCTGCTATGCATCATCTTCCCGGTACACACTGGCAGTGTTGGCAGTGTTATCCTTCCAATCGCCTTGCAATCAGACATAACTGCATTGCAAGTGCTTGCCCTCCACAGTCTTTGCAAAACTTCCTTGCTCCCAAAAGCATTCAACCTGCAGACCATCCAGTTGCAGAAACCCCCCCAATCTGCTTGCATTGGTTCGAGCCAACGTACTGGCCATGTGACACAAACGGCCAAGATGGTGTGTTATTGCTCCAAAATATGGTGGTGCAAGCAAAACCATTTGGCATGAAACAGTCTTGCTTCCATGACTATAATCCAGACAACAAGGCAACCTCTGATGTCTCATGGGTTGATGCTCAGCCACACAAATGTGGCTTCTGTTGTTCATGTGATGTGAACAGGACAGCGGTCACTGAGAGCCCGCCTTTGGCACCTGTGGACCCTCACACATGACTGCGATTCGCGAGGCACTTCAGTATTGCTGAACTGGCTGGTCCACTAAACCTAACCCTGGCCAGCACAGGTACTGCTGCTGCCAGCACAAGGGCTGTGGGGCCTTGGGTCTTACAGACATAGGTGAGTACTGCTAAGCCAAGACTCCACTGTAGGACAGGGTTGTGTGGCTGAATAGCAAGGTCATATCGTCGTGATTGCTGCTCCACAGCCATTCACCCATGTGGCAAGTCAGCCCTCAGTGATCCTGGGACGCGGCCTTGCGCAGATTATTTCTTTCAAAGTACCTGCGCAATCGCATCCGTTCCTTGCTTCCGATCACCGCAACAGCGAAGTCCCAGATCTGAACCCCGCGAGACGACTGGCACCAATCTGCGCCCACACGTTCGCTGCACAGTTGCAGGGGCCCAGCGACCAGCCCCGGTGGAACGCCGCCAACCGGAAGCCATCGCCGAAACTGTCGTATTCTCGATGTCCGGCAGCGCGGTTGCGGCCCAACCCCCCCCCCCCTCCCCCCGGGGTCTGCCCTCCATGGGCGCGGTACGACGCGCCAGAGCCCGACACACGCACGGCGGCCCGCCGCCCGCACCTTAGCGGTGTCGACCGGCCCCGAAATCATCGACGGCAGGTTCCAGGGCCGAGCCGGCGACACCCCCAGCGGCTGGGCGCGCAATCAGCCACCCCGCTTCCCACCTTGTGCACCAAACTGAATGGATCCCCTCTCGCCGCTGTCCAACAATCGGGCAGCGCGGCCCCCGCCGGCAGCAGCCTCGCCGGACCGCGAGCGCGCGAGAAGACGGCAAGAACGCGCGTCTCGACCCGCCTCGCCGCGAGCCCCTTCCCTTCAAACCCCCGCCGGGCAGTACACGTACTGGCGCACCGCGGGAGCGCGTCAGAGGGCACGGAGCACCCCAGCGCGATCGGCGCCACCGAGCAGGCCACCACCGCCGCACCGCCCCCAACACGCGCGCCCAGCGCCGATCGCGGCGCTCCCCTTTCTGGCACCTTTCCCGGCGCTTCTTCCCTCAGGCTGCGCTCGTGCACCAGGCGCATCCCGCACACACGACGATCAGCGCCAAAATTCCTCCCGCCCTGCCGGTGCCCGGGTCTCAAGATCTCAAGATCTTCCGCCAGTTCCAGCATGCGGCTCGGCCCAGCCCATCCCCGCGCGCCTCCCCACGAGGCGCCTTAGGCGCCGGCACGAAAGCGCTGCGGGATGCAACCCGCCTGCGGTCTCGCTCGGAGGGCTGCCCACCTTTAGGCCGCGGTGCGCGGGACTGGACCCGGCGGCCCCTCCGCGCGAGGGCGGCGCTCCTCCGGCCGGGCGCGTGCCGCCGCCGATCCCGTCCTCCTGGGGCGCACCCACGGGCTGAGCAAGATTGTTGCGTGGGGTTCCGAGTTTGTGCCTCTTTGTGGGGGAGAGGGGGAGGAGATTCGCGCGAACCGGGCCAGGCAGGTTGACAATTTTTGGACCACGGAGCGGGGCAGGTTACTCATCCCGCCGCTTCGATGTTCTGGGGTGGCTTGCCAGGCTTCTTTCAGAAAATAGGATAATGTTCGGCGAAGCACACAATGAGCACCGTTTCACTGGGTGACTCACTTCTGTAATTGTTTCCCGACGGGCATCGAGCGTATGCACAATGAACGCTGCAGGGGATGGCCCAAGTATGCCACTATTGCAAACTATAAAAAGGGTGAAAACATTGAAAGGAATAAAAAGTGGAAACATCTTTGAGACATCAGGGCGGTAATACAGTGCCGTCGGGTCGCGATGGGAGCCTTGGAACGTATACACACGCTCAATTTGGGCCCACATCGAAACAAGCACGACAAACCATGTCCAGTGGAGATCTGCAAACAGTTACAGCTGGACGTTCAACACGTCTCTCTATGTCGCCGGAGCTTCATTCCAAGCTTCAGCGATTCTAGTCGTGCCAGCATTTTGAGCGCCATCTAGCTGGCGGCTTGTCCTCGCTATTCCAATGGTCACCCCCCAAAATGGAGTTAGAGGTGCTATCCGTCACCAAGCATACAACCCCATCTCCAACTTCGTTCTACGTGATACACCAAAATAATCCAAACTGAAGCGTGAATGTTAGGTTAAGCCCATTTTCTCCCAGTCATTCGTTGACTCCCACATTAAAGCCGCCGTAGATTTGAAAGCATATTTACGTACCGCCCCTAAAGAATCGTTTCTTCTCGAGCCCATGGATCCCATTCAACCCCGCCATGCAAAAGACATTCACATCGAGCCAAAGAATCCGGAGAATCTGCCACGAAGTTGCTTTGGGCACACGAGTCCAGAAGAATACCTTGTGCAGCACTAGGCTGCTGCACGAATAACATTGGCACCATTGGTGCCCACCGTTGCTTTTCCCACCATGGAATGATGCAGTCACTTGCTGCATCATGAGATGCACGCCACACAACTGAGGCCACCCACTGGGCGCCTCCTTGAACAGATAGCACCATGGGCTATCGATAAAAAAATCACTATCCGGAACACGTTTCTAAAACCAAAACTGTTCCTAGCAGCCACACGCTCCTCGATACTGGCCCCCATGCCAAGCTCCAAGCCATCCCAACATGCACCGCCACTGCATTTCGGTTACAGCAGCAAAGATATTTCCCGTACTTGCAGCGAAGGCACCCAAAGAAATGTCCCGTCGCATCAACGACCAATCCAAAAGCAAATTCTCTCCCCCCTCACCCCCAATAGCGAATACCACTCCTGCCTTCCTGTCTTTACCCAGCAACGAATGAGTTCACTTGTTTGCACAAGTCGTCTGCGTCAACTCTTCCTTCCTGCAAGAAACCCTTTCACCAGTAGCCCCAATCTCAATTCTGTTGCTCTTGCACAGTCTTGAATCCCTTCTCCCACCCCAATACAGGGCAGCCGCATTTGAGGACTGAAAGCCCTCCAGCGACAGCACACCATCCATCATGCCATTCTTCCACCTTTCAGAACCCTGGCTGCTTCTAACCATCACTGGATTCCATAAACCCCGTACATCCACAGTCCTTGAATCTGCCAACAATAAGAGATTGCCAAAACAATGAAATAGTCAACGCCAAAATTGAGTGACCTCTCAGGCCTTGCCATACTGGTCTTCGTTGATCCAATCACCATCCCTGTCTATCGGAGGCTGGATGTCAGACTTCCATATTGGGTTCATCTCAAAGGCCATCACACGTGCAAGCCGTGCAAACCCGCCATAGGCCACAAAATCGATCCCTGCATCTGCACCAATCGGAGGGATGCCCCTGTACACCCTTGTGCTCAGCACCTCCCCACCACCACAGAAGACTTCAACGCATGAGTGGTCGATGAGGATTCGCAGCTCCAGCGGCTCTCCAGGCTTGATGTCAATCGCACCACCCACCCTGTCACTGTCGCCAAAGAGGTCAAAGGATCCAAAGCCGCTGGGGCGCTGAATGACCTCCAGGGTGCCACAGTCCCAGTTGACAAGGATGACGGCTGTGCCAGCCCCATCAGGCAGCCATGACTGCAGCAGTAGGCCTGGGGAGCACAACAAATGGTCATTGGCTCAACTTTCCAAGTCCACTCCGATTCGGCAGTTACAGGCCACCACTGTGACTCAGACAGAATGGTACTATTTGCAGATGGGCGTTATGTATATCTGGCAACAGCAACTCACACAACAAGATGTGTTCCTGCGCACAGCAAGGAGATGAAGCAGCATTTGACTGGCCACAAGATGTGGACTGCTCCATCATCACAAATGCATCCTTATCCTTATTTCTGTCTTTACATCTGTTGAAAGTGACAAATGCATCTCCATCGCCACAGTCTTGCTCATCACACCTGAACATTACTTCCCCACAGCAGGGCGTTGGCACCCACACAGCAACTCCTGCTCAGGTGGGTGACTTGGGGACGACATGCTCTGCTTACATTCAACAAATATGAATCTCTTTTTGACACCTGCAGCAAGATAGCCACTAGGCAACTGCCAGACGAGCTGGACAAGAGGTCTCACCTGCAGCAACAGATTCCCCACGCTCAAGCTCGATTTCGATGTCCAGTGCGCCTCCCCCCAAGTACTTCAGGGGGTTTGGCTCGTCTGGAAAGATGTGAACATGCATCTCGTGCCAGCACACGCCCCTCCTTAGTTGGGCGATCTCGGGAATGGGCTCCTGGATGAGCTTGCCGTCCACTACAGTAAGCACCCGTGGCACTCCCAAACAGCCAGCATAGTCAGGGGTGTAGCTGTGGGTGTCCATTCGTGGCCTTTCCTGGAGCCAGCCCCAGAGAATGCACCTACCCTGTCGATGCAGAGCCACACCATAGGGGTTGACATTTCAGACATAACAGACACACCGGAGACTGCAAGAACCTGGACAGGTCATTGCCCTGTACTGTGATGCACCTAAAGTGACTTATCATTGCCAAAGAATAGAGAGGTAACCAACAGAGTGCATACGGAGGACAAAACCGGATTCTGGGTACTTTTTGGTCACTTCCTGCACATGAAAGAAAGCTATATTTGGGAGCGCACATTGCATTTAAAAGTGCGCCTGACACCCCACCACCCACCCCACCCCATCCCCGTTCTTCTTGGGCGGGGTGGAGTGTGTGCTAACTTATGCTTCAGACGTCCTTATTCTTCCGTGCTTCCTGCCGTTCCAATTGGAGGCCTCCAGGAATCTCCTGGGCAACTTTCGCTTTGCCTGGAGGGTCCAATGACTTGTTGGCGATGGAACTCTGCACAAGCTAGGTATCAAAGGACCCCTACTGATAGGCACTGTACTTTCAAAACTTGGCAGTGTCAATGGAAAAGGAAGGAAAAGCAGGTGATGGGCTTGCCAACACTAGATTGCACAACAGTTATGGACTGCGTAGCCGAGCCAAGGTGACCAAGCCTAAGCACTCCGATCAATGCTCATATGGTCTGCACAAAAGTTCAAAAATCTTACCAAACTGCACGCACACTGCCACTACAACAGTTCAAGACCTAGCAAGGAACTACAGTGCAAACATACTGATGCCCGTGCAAACATACTGATGCCCGTGTCAACTGACAGAAGACTGTTATCAACATCAGTATGCAACCTGTTGCAAAACATCTACCAATTCTGAATGGCAAGGGCGCTCAGCTTTGCATTGTCCATATGGCAATTACATGACTAGGGATGCGACTATGAGGCCACCTCCCACCTGCACATCCTCCATAATATTTGGAGCATACAGAATGTTGCCAAGGTCCAGGCGGTACGGGCCCTTTGCGCCCTCCATCAGGAACCGGCCTCCCACATAGTCCCCCAGCCAGTACAGTACGGGGTTGGTGGGCGCATCAGGGCTGACGCAGAAGAAATACTGGCATCCCTCCTGAGAGCAACCACCACGGCCACTGCATGACGCCATGGGGCTCTCCTTAGGCTCCAGGTTGTGGTCTTCAGGGAACATGTCGTCCCAGTCCCAGTGCATCCACGATGGCTGTCCCGTGCCTGTCAGTGAGTGGGGGTGGGAAGACCTGCCATGCTGCCCCTGTTTCGCGTTGGTTGTGCTGGACAGCTTCACTAGCAGTGGGCACTCCCACATGCACCCCGTCTCCTGCTCATCACCGATGCACAGCATTCCTGTGTATCGCCACCCTGTGCAGCCACCATTGCAACAGCTAGCCTGAGCAGCCGGGGAGGCCAAGCGAGGGGCAAGTGGGGCAAGTCAGGTGTTCGGATAAGTCTTGATGACAGATGTCTGGGGTGGCTACTCCGCTGGGAAGATGTGCATGCTGTGAGGCTCATGTGGGCGTACCTCAGCAAACGCACCTGTCTTTACTCACCAGATCTACACGACTGGGCTGCACCGCGTGGTGGCTGGAGCGGCGACGGCCTCCCATGGGTCGAGGGGCGCCCCACCAGGATTCGCTCCCCGCGTCTCTTCGTTGCGCGCCGAAGGTTTGGTGTCCAAGAGCACATTCAGTCAAGCAAACTTGGGAGCTAAGCGGCCGCCACTACGCAACAGAAGCACATCCAAACAGGGCTCACAATGGGTTTTCACAGCACACATATGCAACACCCCTCACGTCCCAATGGCACCCTACGTGCCTCATCTACGGTGTAGATGCCATCAGATCTGCACCTACCTGCTGTCAGCGCCATGGACTTGTACACCATGACTGCACCACCAGCCCCCTTGATGCCGCTCCCGATGAGCATCGTCCACTCCTTTCCCGGCCCGCCCTTCTCAAAGATAAAAGGGTCACGCCAGCCAGTGAGCGGCATGTGGGCAGGAGGAAGAGGGATGAACGGGTGGGCCAACTTGCGCCAGCTGATCAGCTTATTGTCACCTGGAGACATTGCACAGCTCATTTCTTCCACCAGACTTGCCAACCAGCATTGCAAACAAACTGTGCACAGCACGGGGAACACGCTATTCACATTACAATGTACAGAGGACTACTACAACTTTCATCCTCTCAATTGACACAAACATGGGATGTTCAACACTCAAGAAAAGAACGTTGAAAATACAGCCACTGAACAAGGTGGTCAAGAAGGAAGGCAGCCTGGTAACTATCGCCACAGTCCTCTCCAGCGTCCGCTCCTAATTCGGTCAGCAAGCACTCTCAGCACACGGCAGTGATGGTGCCATTATGCTCCAGATACGTCCAAATTTCCTGCAAGGCCTCTCACTTACAACATGCAACACGCATGCCACCCCACAAAATATGCAAATGATCGATGCGCTCCTTCCATGACAGGAATGAAACCATGAACAGCGGGCCAGCGCCGGGCAGTGGGCTGTGCCCGTGCATTATATAAGAACGCCGGCCCTGTAAAGTAAGACTCAGGACCGTTTCAAGAATATCTGCAAAAGCCACATGGTCACACAACACAGTCAGCCCCCGGCCCGAGCGCCCCCTTCCCGCGGACGTGGCAACACCCCCTCACCGACTTCGGCCACAGCGGCGCACTGCGACTCGATGAACTCCAGGTTAAGGTCGGCCTCCGGCGGCGGCATGGGCCCCGGAGCCACGTTGCTCCTCAGCCGCACACCCGTGTACAGGATCGTCGGCAGGCCAGTCAGGTGGTCCACAGCGCAGCAGCCCGAGAAGCAGCCGTCGGCGTCGGGCGAGCCTGGCGTGGGGGAAAGCGCCGGCGGCAGGTGCTCCCAGTGCACCAGGTCCGTCGACACGGCGTGGCCCCACACGATGCCGAAGTCCCAGCTCGTGCCTGACGTAACTTGCTGGTAGAATCTGCGCACAGGGCGCGGGGATCCGCGTCAGCCGGGGGCGGTCATAGGAAACACGCCCCGCCTGGGGCTGCCGAGCGCCGATGCGGCGCGAACGCCGCGGCAAGCCGCCACGGCATCGCGCGTAAAACAGCGAAGCCCGCTCTCGCCCGGGGCTGCCCGGGGCGATCGAGCCGCGGGCGCGGGACGCGGGGCGCGCCTGACACACATCTCTCATGGGCCGCAAAAGATCCGCAGGCCGCGCGGTTCCTCGGCCGCGTTGACCTCCCCGCCACCAGCACCGCCGCCAAATCCGCGCAGAAAAAGCAGCCACGGCACTCAATCACTCCTTCCCTGCCGCCATCCCCCCCGATGCAAACTTCCCGCAGGGTCCCGCCCGCCCGCCGGCGCCCCGCATTCCCCACTCACATATGGTACCGCCCCTCGTGGTAGAACGGTCCGTTGGGGTCGTTCATCCAGCCCAAGCGCGGCATCACGTGGAAGCACGGCCTGTCGGTGCCCCAGCAGGGTCCCTCCCCCAGCGTGTCCTTCCCAGAGGCCCCCCCGCCCGCAAAGGGCACCGCCGCCGCCACGCCGTCCATCACGCCCCCCTAACGCCCCACGGGCCCTGCCTTCGGCTCCTCGGCTGCCTGTGCTGGGCCCCGCAGGCCCGCTGGTCCCCCGGCGGGCTGTGCTGCCTGCCGCCTCGCCGCCCCGGCTGTGCTGTTCGCGCCTGTCGCGGAGAACAGGCACGGTTTCTCGGATTTGTATGGTCCTGGCTGGGGGCGGCGCCCGGCCGTACTGGAGGGCCGTCCGTCATGCATTGGGCATCAATTACAAGATTGATGTGACGCCACGTAGATGCGCTGAGCGCGGGGCGTGGGCCCCCTGATGGCCTCGGCGCAAACTGGACAACCTCTGTCCTGTGGGGCCTGTGCGGCGCTGTGCACGCTGGCGGCGGGCGAGGAGGGCTTTGACACGGGAGCAGGGCGCAGCGGGGTCGCGCCGTCCTGCTTTCGCGCGGCTGTCGCGCAGCAGGCGCCTCGTTCACCGCACTCTTCGTACCGAGCTCGGCTGCCGGCTCTTTGGAGCGCCGTGGCAGCCATTGGCCAGTTTCCTCCAATTGCAGGCAACGTGCGGCGTGCCCAGCTTTCACTGGCCGAGGTTGGCGTTGGAGGAGGGCTTCCAGAGGATTTCATCCAACCCAGGGCGCCAGGGTGGCGCCCACGTGGCACATTGAGCTGCAACGAATTAGGATTTCCTGATGCTCTCGGCCCTTTACTGAAAGTTGCGAGATTGTCGGGGGCCGCAGTGGTTTGGTGTATGGGAATAATTGTCAAAAAGAGCGCGTCTTCTGTGCAACCTTTTAAAAGAACAGGGCGCTATATTTTGGGGCCCCTCCTATTCTTCTCATCCGATGGCATACTCTAGGTCATGACATTGACGGAGAATCTTGGTTCCAGATTATGTACTTGTACTCTGGCCGAGCAATCCCGATACTGAATCTCACGTCAAGCAGAAATCCGTAAAATCTATGAGTGCCTACCTACACATCGATGTGACACTCAAGGGTCGCCCGCGTGCATCTGCTCCCAGGAACAGGCTTGGAACATCAACTGCGCCTGAGACGGTAATACGTGCAAGCAGCCGTCAGGGCGGCTGCCCCTGGGCCCTTTCCTAAGCTATTCCGCTGCGTAATCCTGGTTGGCTCCTTCCTGCCTTCCCTCTGCTGCGTCTCAGCCCCACCCCACCCCGTCCCCCACCCGCAGACGTCAAAATTGCCCATACAACACAGAACAACAAAGTTTACCAAATTCCAATTGCGGTCTGCAGTGCAGGATTCTTCAACGATTCGAGACATTTCAAACACGGACCAGGCAATCGTCTACCAGTGGTGTGGACAAGGGGCGGCGTTTTAATACATTCCAGTGCATGCAGCCAAGGCACATTCACGTTGCAGCTGCGGCATCCACTCGCGCACTCCCCTTTTCCCTCTCTTCCAGCTTGGCACTCAGCACCCGATAAGTCTCCACAGACTGGGACAGCCTTTCCAGAAGGTTGACCAACGAGATGATCTCGTTGCGCTCCAGGATCAAGGGCGCCGTGTCGTTGCTGCCACTGGAACCACAGTCGGATTCGTGAAAGAGGATCTTGAGGGCCGTGGCCAGACCCAGGGTCTGCACCTTGCCCCAGAGCTTGCACTTCTCGCAGCCCACGCAGTCCATTATCCGTGTGATGTTGCGGAATGACGTCATCAGAGTTGCCTTCAAATCTGGGCCCTCGTCGCCCTTCCACAGGCGACCCTCGTCGAAGGGGACTGGGCACGCTTGCTGAAGGGAGGGATGATTCGCCTGTCGCAGGGCGGCCGGATTTCAGCGGGCCGCTGAACGCGTTTCTTCCGCAATGCAGTTTTTACAATGCATTCATGTGCACTATTTGTATGTTTCCTGTCCTGTTAATGCTGCATCGTTGTCCAACATGTTCTCAACCCCTTTGTTGGTCGTGTCTAGTGCTGTAACCTCCTAGGGCCGCGCACAAAACCTGAGCGCAAGGCCCAAGAAATAAAGGAATGGCGCCTTCCGTCGTTGAGAATGTGGACGAACAAAGGGCAAGCTAATGAGGCCGAATTCACCGGTCGCAGTGACAACAACTCCACGCTCCACGAATCGATACTGTCAGGGCGAGGGGGCAGCATGCCAAGCAAATTGTGCCAAGAAGCGTTGCAATAGTCAAACACTTGCAAGGCAATGACAGAATGCAAAACATACTGATATTTCCAGTTTGGGTATAATTCTATCACTAAAACAGGTGCCGCCATTTCAAAAGAATGAAGATAGCAATTCACCAAAATTTATCAAAGAAGCTCGCCAAATTTCAGCAAAGAAACATAGACTTTGCTCATTGAAACAAGCGCCACCATTTCCATACAATGAGCAGCCGCATGTCTGAGGCCAAATGGCAGCGGTATCGAGCATGGGCTCAAATTCCAGCTGCTCACCAGAAGGTGCATCAACTCCTGCGCCCTTTTGTCCTCCTCCGGCAGGCCAGTGTTGTATTCAGTCCTGTCCAGCAGCGGGCCCGTCTTCATTGCCGCCCTCAGCACGAACAGGAACGCGAAGTACAAATTCTCAACCCTGCTCTTCAGCTCCGGGCGCCCGAGTCCCCAATAGAAAAGGTCGAGATTGGGGCCCCATATGCCGCGTTCCTCGTCGATCAGGTACTCCTTGGCGATGTGGGCGGTTATGCTGGAGTGCAGCCCCGATATGAGGCGGTAGAAGATGCGCTTCTCGGTGCATTCATCCTCTCCGGGATTGGTGCTCCCAGTAAAACAGCTCTGGGAGTATACAGCCTTCCAGACACGCTGAGTGTGCTCCCCCTGTCCATGTGGAGCCTCCAAAGCCTCAGGTGGAGCCAAAACGAAACATGCATGAAAATATTCACGACCATGTGTCCAGCGAAATGTGCCCATCAAGACAAGGGAATGCAACCTGTTCTGAAGATTGTTCCAACTGGGGCGCTGGAGGCATAACCGAATCCAGGTCCTTGTAATGCAGATCGATGTTGTTTTCAGAAGGCAAAGTTTGCTTCAACCGAGCCCCCAGTACTTTAACCAGCACCAATAGCTGTCAGCGAGTTTCCTGTGCCACTAAAGGGGGTGGGAAGAATTAGGGGGTCATTGAAGCGTCAGTACAGTAAAGAGACAATGGTGGACCAAAGACCTGTAAACACTCACATTCTGCACACAAAGCAATGCCAAACACAGAAAATGGTTTACAAGATGGTTCCACACTCAACTGCGAAACTGTTCTTTGCAACTGCAAGAGCGACGCACTGGGCTTGCAGCATTCCAACGAACCTTGTAGCCTGTGAACCTCTCAGGGTTGGCCAGTAAATTGATGTAGAAGTACTCAGTTTCTTTCTCGTCTTCTGCCATCCAGGGGTTGTTGAACCCCCTCCAGCCAGGAAGGTTCACTAGCAGCTCCTTAACATTGGGATCCACCGTCTTGTCCACCTGAAATTCATTTTGAATAACAGCTGTATGGAAACGCAGCACAAGGCAGCGTTCAAACTGTGGACTTCTCAGATAGATTGAGCTCCATGTCAAGGCTGTTGTGTCGCCAGACGTTGATGCCAGCATAGCTTCCAGCTCATTTCAACAGCACGATAAACGTATGACTGGCATTGTAAGCATCGTTTTCCAGTTTATTACTGACCCGTTGTTTTGTCCCAGAATTCAATGCGAGACACACACACACACATACACACACATGCATGATACAGAAGACACACGAAATATTCCTTCAATGGGTACTTGACTTGGCTGTTTCTTCTATTCACCAGTTCTCTTTCTGTGCTTTGCACAACCGTTGGAACGACAAAGCACAGTGACCACGTTGATGCTCACTTGTGTTGCATCCCAATGGATGCTTCCTCTCCGCCTCAGTCCATGGTTCTGGGACTTCCCCGTCCTCACACTCGCACACGCTGCAAGTTTCCATCGAGCACATGCCCTCGTCTGGCCATAACGGGCAATCACAATTCAAATTGACCTGGGACACGACACAAACTGGACCATCACCTTTGGGCGTCTTCTGAAACAGAGCCAGGTGGTGCATTCGGCAGGGCAAGAACAAATATGACAGCCCACGGCCGCTGGCCACCTGGAGGTCTGTGCCCCGCCGCCTGTTGTCAAAACAGAACTGAAGGTATAAAGTTGTTGACTGCACAAGAACGGAGCCACATAATTGCAAATGGAGTTCGTGGCGTTGGGAATCTTAGAGCAAATTTGTGTGTGCCAGAGCTGGCAAACTAGTCACAGCAGTCGGATCATCGACGTACGAATGAGCCACAGGGGTCCGGGACCCACTGCCGCTGGTGCCGATTGTCAACCGATGGGCGTGGAAGTTGGGGCACAAGACTGTCTAAAACCCGTCGCTGATTGGTATGCCTCGCGACTCACCTTGAAGTACCTGAAGTACGCGGTCTTCACGAGCTCCGAGACAACAGGGTGCAGGTGCTCCTGGTTCACCCTGTTGACGGTCTCGTAGTCGCAGCCTGCGGGCGCACCAAACGACGACACCGTACCATCACAACCCACTCGCCCGAAGCCGTGCGAGCCAGCCGGGAGAGAGCGCCCTCCCAGCCTGCCGCCATCAGCTTCCAAACTGGGGACATAGGTGAGCAGGTGCGGCCAGCGTGGCATGCACAAAGGATGGCAGCATCCGTCTAACGGTACGGTGCTAAGTCCGCATCGGGCGCCAGCCGGCAACGCACAGATGGGAAAGGACGAGCCGCTGCGACGGAGGCGCACCAGTGGAGGCGCGCATCCCGGCTGCGCTTCGCGACGACAGGGCCTACAAGGAGGCCCCGTCCGCGACGCCCGAGGCGCCAGAATCACACTCACAGCAATCGTTCACCGTCCCCCGCAGGCGGCAGCTCCCCACTCCCTGCTCCGCGTCACCATCAGCCTGCGCACATGCAAGGCGACGGATCTAGCGCCTGGAACAGCGGAACCCAGAGATGGGCTCGACGCCGTGTCCGCGTTCCCGTGGGCGCCGCGCGTCGCCGGTGCCCGAGACGGACGCGGACCGATGGCCCACCTGGCAAGAGCAGTTGGACGCGTTGGAGGCCACGAAGGGCACCAGGGAGGTCCAGAAGCCCAGATCTTGGTCGATCAGCGAGCTGCGGATCCCGTCCCTGTACCAGAGGCCGCCCAGGGAGACCGCCAGCACCGCGCACAGGATGCCCGCCGCCGCAGATCGACCCAGCATTGGCCCCTTCTCAGACGCCAGTCCCTGTCAGAGGCTGATCCCCGGCTTCGCAGACGCGTTTGAGTGACTGTTTCTGCTCACGGGGGCTCGCAACGGCTCGGGCGCGCTCCGCTAGGCGTGGAGAAGCTCGTCGTCACTCTGGACACCTTTCCACGCGGCGCCTGACCTCAAATACGGAGAATTAGACATGCCGCTGTGCCACTTCTGTCAACCTCCCTCGTACGTACACCTGGATATGGTACGCGTCCACCGTATAGTGGGCATTAAATGAACAAATGAACACATTGATGACATCGTTCAATGCTTTTCAGGCATCATCACCATCGGTTTTATCCTGTAAGGGTAAGGCAATGAGGTAGCCGCCAGCTCCCTATTTTGCCCTGTTGCGGCAAGAACTGAGTGAGTATTATTAGTAACTGAATGCATGAAAAGATGATGAAGCAGTAGGAATTGCATTAAGGACGTTGATGAATGGACGGAGTATAAAGGACAGAACGCCTGTTGTCCTTTTGCCTCGGCTGTAAACCGTTGCCGTGGACTCGAGTGTCCAATTCCCGTTCAGGGATCGCCACCCCTCGATACAGCCTGCCTTCGTCAGCCCGAACAAAGCAGTGTCTATGATCAGACTGTACAGAATATACAGACAATGCTATGTAGACACTGGCTGTCTGTTCTGTTAATCATCCTTCCCGTTTCCGCGCTCTCGCCTACATTCTTTTCATTGAACAATGTCATCAAGATGTTCATTTGCTCAGTTTTGTTCACTTCATGCCCACTGTGCGTAGCCGAACCAGAGCACAGGATCAACTCGGCCAGCGAGCGCGCTGTTCCCGTCTTGGCTTGCCTCTTGACGGCAGCTCCAGTTGAGCCGTTGGGCGCAGTCTCGCCCACTCCATCTGCGCCGCCCTCTTGTGCGCGTTGCGATGAGTGTGTTCGCGCGCCTGGGGCGAGGCATGGGCGTGGGCAGCTGCGCAGGGGCCGGCGTGCCCGGCAGGCCTGGCGGTCGCCGAGTCTGCAGGGTAGCGGCCGTGTCGGCGCCCGCCAGACCGGGAAGAGAGGGCACCGGGGAGGAGGCGGAAGTCCCACCCGGTGAGAAGGGGGCGGAGGGTGGATCTGAAGATCCCCACTGCGTAGAGCCGAGCGTGATGGATGTGGTTGTGTGGGTGTGGCGCGTGCTGGATATGGCTTCGACTGGGGTGAGATTTGTTGCAAAGAGAAAGAGAAACAGGTCATGCAAAGGGCAGCCCTTCCTAAGCAAGTGTGGGTGAGACTCTCTTCCACTCTGTGACGAGATGGGCGTCGACTTGGCGAGCCTGTGTGATGATGTCGCCGGTGCGGTCATGGTGGTGTTGGCGTTCGATTCTCGTTACCCTCGATTGGCGGATGCAATTTCCGGTGGCCCATGGCAGCTTCGCGGCGACGGGTTATGGCGTCGACGCCCGATGGGTGCGGTTGGTGGGCGCGTTCGCGCGTGACCCGCGAAATTGTCGCGGCGACCGTTTCTGATGCCGACGCTCCTTGCCAGGGCTGAACAAGTTCAGCGGCCGTGTGACGCAGCCCAAGTCGCAAGGGGCGTCCCAGGCGATGCTTTACGCCACAGGGCTGAAGGACGAGGATATGGACAGGCCACAAGTGGGTGCAAACTGTGGTAGTTTCCGCCAGATTGCTGTCTCTTGTTGTTGGATTGATCAGATTTTCTAGTAGATCCTTGCCACTTTGAATTGTATCTCTCCGCCCAATGGTAGAGAATCTCCAAATTTGATCGTCGGTTATGTGAGACTGCCTTGGATGGAGTCTGTTACCAAGTGGCAATTTTGCTCTGTCCCTGCTGGTAAGTTTCCCAACAGGACTATAGCCTGGAGACTGGTTCCCAAAGGGAAGCCCCTGGAACACTGGAAATAATCCCTGAATAGGGTAACCTGAAGGCATTGCCTGCCTGAAACTAAGGGGAAGGCCCTATGCAAATGAATTGATTCTTGCAACTTGCTGCATTTAATGATGATGGCAGATATGTGTGGGGGTGGGCGAATCCAGTTTGGAACATTGCTGTCCTGTGCCCACATTCTGGGAACTCATTGAGATTAGGCGTGACACGGAATGACCAGCCATGCCACTAGTGCCGGGAGCTTCTGATGGTGTATGGCACGTTTTAGGATACAGAATATGTTTGCTGGACAGGAATAACTGTCAAGACTATTGTTGCCAGGTATCGAGCAGGACAGGCAGCTGTCAACACAAGATGTGGTCCTGATATTTGTGTACAATGAAGTGCCTGTTCCTCTGCATCCATTGATCGAACTAACATCATTGGTTGTGTAAGTATGTGTCCAGCAACCAGAGGGGGCCTCGATTGACTTGACTGGCGACTATTAATTTGATGATGGGTTCAGGAGAAACAGTGACGCGTTGCAGGAAATGCGGCGTATAAGGAATGAAGAGTACACCAGTATCAAACGTGTCTGTGCCTCGGTTGCACCTGATTTGTTGTCCCCCCCTTGTTTTCACTGTGTTGTTTGGCTACCTAACAGGCTGTGTGCACCTCAGAACAGTTATTTGCTCAGTATTGTCAGGCTGAGGGGCTTGGTGCTGTGCCTGTGATGATCAGGTGGGCGTGGGCTCTGTGTGGTATGAAGGCAACCCTTGCAACATGCATCTCTTGGATTTGTCTGCCGATGTTAAGCAGGGAGTAGAGTCTGCAGGGCTTGTCCCGTACAGGTGGGAATTGGACCTCAAGGAGCCGTCAGCATTCCTACTGCAGAACAATCCATTTTCATTACATCTGTTCGTTGGGGGAAGAATGTGACATGAAACCTGTTGCGGGTGGAGTGGTTGTGTCTGGAGCTGTTGGTTATTTCTAGACAAATGCCATCATTGGAATGGGTGAACCTGTATTGAGCCAATATTTCTAGTAAACTGCCACATTGCAGTTTGCCTTGTTGGCTCTCTGGACTGTGATCCCAGCCCTGTGCATGTCAGTCACTCCACAAGCTGGTGTTTAATGTGGTGCTGATTTGTGCTCTTTTGACTTGGTCCAAACTCATACAAGGCCTTATGGGGTTGTAACAGACACAGAACGAAAGGCTGACTCATACTTCTCAGATGACTTGCAGGTTCAACACAGTGGGAGTGAGCGATGCAATCTCTATGGGCACAGAGGGGATGTGCTACAGTCTGCAATCGAGGGACCTCATTGCAGACAGTATCGAGACTGTCATGGGGGCCCAGTGGTATGATGCATTCATTGGCATTGCAGGTGGGTGACTGCACCACAGCAGTTTGGCTCAAATGTTGGTTCCAGAAACACCGCATTTGCAGACCGCACCCCTTTGCATGACGAGTGTGTGTGCAGCAAAGACGTTAAGTCATAGTCAGGGTTCTCTTTGCCCCAAGCCTGTACCCTGAAAACCCAGTGATGGCCCGCTCAGGGCAGTTTGATCCAAGTCAGACATGTCAGGGCCCTGATGGTAACTTGCTCCTGGCATGCAAGCAGAGGCATGGCAGTCGTCGCGTGGAGTAAAATTCCATTTGCTTGTGAAAATGCAAGTGGCAAGGCGCTGGCTGCTGCAGTCTACCACTCCACATGCACACTACCTCTTGCCTTCACCGCAGTTTTGCTCTTAATGCAGCCCTCACCAGCATGACAAGCGTAGCATTCTTGCACCAGCGAAACTATTAGCTGTTCCACGATTGTTGCTGGAAGTCCACTCTGACTACAGTATTCTCAGGGGCCAAAACTCTGCCAAATTTGGGCGCACATGTAAAGTGTGTTCATTCCCAGAATGGCTCCCAGCTGGCTCACTCATATGTGGGATGCCTGTGCAAGAGCACACTTTGACTATTTTTTTAACATGCCACGTTCATTAAGAGGTTTGCTTGCCCTTGTTTTCATTTTCTGTGTTGCTTTCACTCTGGCTCTTCAGTAAAGAAGATCTCCACCTATTCGTATGTTGGCACGATCTGTGCTGTGAAGAATGAGTTGTCCATGCTTTCTGAAGAAATTCCTCAATCTGGTTGCAGCTGCAGTTGTGCTCGGCTCTGTGATTGCATGTGTTGTGGTTGTGATAAGAACAGGTTGTGATAAGAACATGCCAGGGACGTTGATCGCCATGGGGCGTCTGAATCGTCCTGCACTCATGGTGTATGGTGGCACCATCAGGCCTGGAAGAAGCACCATTTCTGGGGCACCACTGGACATCGTGTCAGCATTCCAGAGCTATGGTGGGTTGTTGTTGTTGTAGTTCATCATTGTTATTGAAATCATTGCATTAGCAGAAAACTGTTCATCATATTACAGGAGGTTTGCACAGGATAACACGGGACCCATGTCTGCTGTTGGCCAGTCATAACTTGTGCCCAGGCTGGAGTCTCATCCATTGAAATGGTGCCAGTACTGTCCTGACAACATAAATGTCTCTAAGATGTGTAGAATAGTCCCTTGGCCAAGAAACTCTAGGCCCCGGTCGATGATATGGGCAATGGGCTTTGGCTTTGGTTGACAGGTTTTCATGGAAGGTAGTTATCTGCATCGACTGCATTTGGTAAGCATTGGCAAACTACTGTTCTTGCAAATGTGGGGCGATGAGTGGCAGTATGAAATCCTGCAGCACCTCCTCCTCAATGTGCAGTGTGCCCAGCGATTGGGTGCTGGGCATGGCAATGGAGAGGCCGTTACTCTCCACTGATAATTCAGACTACTTGCGGCAAATTGAATTATTCTGGAGTATGCTTGAGGCCAGGAGGGCACTTCGTTTGTGTAGTTACTGCAATACAAAAGCAGGTTCATGCTGCAAGCGTTCAGTGGTTATCTGCACAGAGCACATGCACGCAATTTGGTTGCCCATGCTTCAGTCCCAACAAGAACAAGTGCTGCTGAAATCTCCACCCAGGCTGCAGCCTTTGACTGCCAGCTATTGATTTTGTGTGTTCAGGGATATCCTGCAGTTTAAAGATGGCTCTTTCCCAGTTAGGACGTTGCCTATTGTCTAAATGCCTAAGTTTCCTCTGTGTTTTCAAGTTGCATTTGCTCCTGCTGCTTATCCTCGAATGTGTGCCTGATGAATAGTGTTGGCGGCTCAATTTCGCACCAGGTGCCTTCACTGCTGGTCTGGTGACTGAAGAGGAGCGTTTCGACATGGTCCGGAATGCTTGCCCTGGCGCCGGTGCCTGTGGCGGAATGTACACAGCCAATACCATGGCTGCTGCCATCGAGACACTTGGGATGACACTTCCGTACAGTTCTTCAATTCCGGCAGAAGATCCCCTGAAGAGGGATGAATGTCGAATGGCTGGGCGGACAGTACTGGAGATGCTCAAGGCCGACCTCAAACCCAAGGACATCATGACACGGCAGGCATTTGAGAATGCCATGGCAGTTGTCATGGCCATGGGTGGCTCAACCAATGCGGTCTTGCACCTGATTGCGATTGCAAGGTGGGTTTTTACTATGGAAGTTCAGCTCTTGTTGGACCTGTTGAAATATTGACTGGTGCTGTTCCAGTTGCCTGCATATCTTATGCAAAGATCAATACCAGAATGGCATTGGAAGTTCATGCGCATGTGTTTCTTCTGGAGTTTTGAGCGAAAATCGTTCCTGATCCATATCCTGATCCACGATCGGACCTTTCCTCAGAATCCAGAGTTTGGGTCTTGTCTCCGGACCTGGACCTGCGCCGCTGTAGCCTGCAGCTATTGCCAGGCATTTGGCAGCACTATTCTCTCTGCATGTATCATGCTTTTGGAATTCCCACCCTCTTACCTGAACGATGTGCATGTATGTTGGTCATCGATTTGTCATGAACCGTGCGAAACCCGGGGTGATCAACAGGATAGTCTAGTTGCAGCAAAGATACAGGAAGCAAGTGGTTCACTGTTTCTTATGAGGTCACCTGGCTAGTATGCATCATTTGTACTGCCCACACCTTCTCCCACTGTTCCTATGCTGTTGTGGCTGTGAGGTGCCATGATGGGGAATTGAAGTTTATCCAGTTTGTACATCCTGTTCATCAGGTACATTGGTGGAGATATCCTAGGATGGTGACTTGCCCTGCTTTGATGATTGTTATCAATCTAGATGGTCTGCATCGCCAGGGACTTCATGTGGCGATCTGCTGAGGCACACTTCTGTGTGCCGTAGCCGCAAGGCATAGTGCTGACATTGTATGTGATACGATCATGGCAGATCTGTTGGTATCAACCTTGCACTGGAAGACTTCCAGAAAGTCAGCGACCGTGTGCCATTCATAGCAGACCTTCGGCCGAGTGGGAAGTATGTGATGGAGGACCTGCACAAGGTTGGAGGCGTGCCCGCTGTCCAGAGGTACCTGTTGGCCGAGGGCATAATCGACGGATCTGGCATCACTTGCACGGGCAAGACACTGGCTGAGAACCTTGCAGCTGCCAGCGATCTGAAGGCTGGGCAAGATGTCATCATGCCCTTGGACAAGGCCATCAAGCCAACTGGTCACATCCAAATCTTGTATGGAAATTTGGCAAAGGAAGGGGCAGTTGCCAAGATTACTGGTAGGCTTCGTCTGAGTCAAAGCTGATGTGCTGTGGGGCACAGAAGACTGGTTGTCTATCAGATTGTGGTAGTCTGCTGTTATATTTCCTTGGATTTGGAATATCTGGAGCCCAGATCCTAGACTTCTATCTCTTGTGGTATTGTGTGCACGATTGCAGACTTGAACAAACACCTGTCTGGTTTTGAACACTGTTTGATCAAAGAGCACAAACTGATGCTCATATTCACCAGTGGCAGTTTGCATTTCTGCCACAATTATCGTCCATATTCCAGAAGTATGCACTGGATCAGCTGCAAAAGCAAGATATGGTAATGACATCGCCAGCATCTGTTCGATCCCTCCAATATATAGAGGCTCATTTTTGCTGCTGTTGTCTGATTGGCCTGTGTGTCAATGCACACAACTGTTATACCAACATCCAAGAAATAGTTGGCCGATGTATTGCCTGCTGCCTGTGTGTCTCCTCAGCTTCAGCCAAAAGTGAGCTCTGCAGTTGAGAACATGCGCGGTGAATATTGTTGATGTGACATTGCAAAAATTGATCCAGTTGGTCAGTCAACTTGCTGCAGCATGTGATGCACTACACGAAGACATGTCTGGTCCTTGGGGCCATTGGAGTGAAAGTAGTGGATGAACTTGGAAAGCAGATTGGATTTGGAATACACGACTATTTCACAACCACAGCAATGTTCTCGACTCAGGTGGGCTGTTTTATGGAAATACTTTCTTGCCCTCTATTTGCCACTGTTTTATGTGCTTTTGCGCTCCACTCAGGGACTTGTCCATCATATTTCATGGGAGGGAAAGCAAGCTCACAAGTCCCATGCTCAGGAAGGGACTTTCCATAGCATAACTTGTCTCTGTTTTGTTAAAACGAGTTCCGATTCCCCTACAGGTAAGGAGGGCCTCAGATTCCAGGGCCCTGCCCTGTGCTTCGACCGTGAGGAAGACATGCTGGACGCTGTTGCACAGGATGCCTCTGCCTTTAAGGGCAAGGTCATAGTCATACGGTACGAAGGTCCCAAGGGGGGCCCAGGCATGCGCGAGATGCTGAACCCCACCAGTGCCATAATGGGCGCTGGCCTGGGCAAGGAGTGCGCATTGCTGACTGACGGGCGATTTTCGGGCGGCTCCCATGGGTTTGTGATTGGGCATGTGACGCCTGAGGCACAGGAGGGTGGCACGATCGGGCTGGTCAAGGATGGGGACGACATCACCATTGACATCGCATCCAGGAGGATGGATGTCAATTTGCCAGATGAGGAGCTGGAGAGGAGGCGCAAGGAGTGGGTGCCGCCACCTTTCAAGGCGACTTCTGGAACTCTTTACAAATACATCAAGAATGTGGCGCCGGCGACACTGGGATGTGTGACAGACCTTTGACCTGGCCTTTCTCAGCAGATGAAAGAACAGACTCTTCTCACGATTTTTTGAGCTTCAGGCACTGCAGCTCAAACTACAGTTTTGTGGCGGTGTTGTGCATATGTGTATAGAAACAGGCAGCCGAGCTCAGGGTAAGGCTTGAATACCCTTTGGATATGAAATTTCATTGGTGGCTGTGCGCCACAGAATGTGCCGCAGGTGGCTGTAAGCTTACATGTGATGGGGACATGCAAGACAGTGCCAGTGCACTGTGGCATGTGTAGTGCCACATGTGTCAGTTTCACTGACGTTCAATCGTGAATTCACGCAGCTGACTGCCCACAGAAAGGTGAACAGCAAAAAAACACAGCATAGCTGAAACTGAAACAATTTACTGGCGCTTGAAACGAAATGAATGAAGGTTGCAGTGCAACAGTTGATAATTGTCTTTCCGCAGAATGCTGAGGCACTCATGTACTTGGGAGTCCCCTGTTGAAGAGAATGACCAGTTGAAGCCCTGTTCCATCCTGTGAACAATAATGCACCAGTCTCTGTATGGCCTGCACACAACGGAGAGCAGCACAGGTAACAGAGCACCACAGTTCATTTTGGTTTCCCAAGGGGGGGCAGTCTTCAGGAGACCCTTGATGGCAATGATTCAACACTCTCCTCCCTTTGGGGCGATTGAGCTCCTCGTCCAGTATTCACAGGCAAAGCTTGCAGCAGTGCACTTGCATTGTGCAGGAACTTTCAACTGTGTCCCACTTCCTGCAGACTGTCAGTTGAGCGGAACTGAACTGACCTGAACTGAATCGGTCTTCCACATGTGTCTGCGCGAAGCAGCACAAAGTAAAGGCGTGCATGCCATCATCGACTCGTCCATCCATCAAACAGCACAGTTTTGGTCCCTCAATATTGGTTAGGCAACACCACAAAAGACAATCACTATCACCCTCAGCAAAACCAGTGAGATTTGCCTTGATTCGATCTGTCATGGTGCCCGGGTGGCGAACTTCTATGGGACTGAGCAATCATTTACACCCTTGGTGCTCTGCATCCCTTTGCATATTCTTTGCCGGGTGGCACAAGGCCTGCATCTCTCATTAGAACGGGGGCTGGCAACCGGACTCTGAACACGTGAAGCAGTATTCTGGATGCAACAAAGCCAACCACCTGGCACCTTCAATTGTACCGCGGCAACTCTTGCCAGGACGGGATTGGCACCCAGACTTTGAAACGTGACGTAATATTTGGAACGAAAACGTGACCCCCCCACCCCGAACACTGTACCACCGGTACACTGTACCAGATTGTGTCTCACAATCTTAAAACAATCCACCAAAGACAACAAGAAACTGTAAAGATCTGTGCCCGGGCATGGCATGACCCTTCGGGGTTGGCACAGCAGAATTCGACATGCGGAAAACACCGTATACCGATTCACCGCGTCGAAATGCGATCGAAATCGCCACACACAGGACGTTGGGCTTATCCCTTCGCAGGGAACCACCCGCCCGACCGTCAGGTCCCAACCCCACTTCGTGAGGAGGCCCGTTCAGGTGCTCCGGTTGCAAGCAAGAACACTCTTACAGACCGGGGGCGGCTACAATGCGCACCCCCGCCACTTTATACATTACCGCAGTCAGGTTCATACGAAAAAAAGAAAGGTCCACAAAAAGGTCCACCTAGGGATCCAGATCCTTCCCACAACCACACAACTGGATACCCTCTACCACACGACCAACGCACCACCCTGCTGGTCATTTCGTCAGACTCCTTTGATCCCATCTTTCCCTACTAAGTCAACTTCAGCTCACCACCATCTCACAGCCACCCGTTCACACGTCCTCAGACCATCCCCTTGATCTCATATACGGTCTAATCGATACTTACATGTCACATCAAAAATAATCCTGTCCGGCGGCCGCACCCAGTGCCATGCGCTGCCCCAGTCACCCATGCTTCTCTGCCGGTGGCGTCTCCTCACGGTCGAAGTCAGGCCTGGGCTTGTGCCCCTGAAGCCATCCCTAGACTTCCGCCCGGACGGCATCGATCCTCCACGCCTCCTTGATCTCCATATCGCGCACATGCCACTCCCCAATCGCCCTTCGCAATGATGGCAAACGCAGGTCCTTCCTGGGAGGGGCCGGCGGCAACCGCATCAGGAATGCCCTGTCCGCCTCAAGCGCTTTCACACGTTCATCCTCCAGGAACGCCTCCTCCAATGACTGCACCTTCAATCGCTGGTGGAAAAAGTCATCGATGACCTTCAACCTGGCCGCGCGAATATCATCCTCAATCGCCTCCGCAGCCCGCCAAATCACCGGCTTGTTGTCAAGCAACCGTAGCTGCGACAGCTCATTGTCCCTCCGAGCTGCATCCCACGCCGGCTTGAGACCCATGTAACACATGGTCTCAAACTGCGCTATAATTTCCGTTCTGTCAGCCGGCGCCAGCGGCTGCATACCCAGGGAGGTCTAGAAGCCCATCCCGGCATGTATGACGGCATCGAATATCTTCTGGTCGTCCGCCAGCGACTCCTCCCACACCGACATGAGAGCGCCATGCAGGTCTCGCGCTCGCCTCCATTTCTTGTCTTCTTGGGGCGCTCCACTGGAACCAGACGCCTGTCCGCTTGGCGCCGCCAGCCGTGCCACCTGGAACTGCTCCAGCTGATGGCGGAAATCCCGCACGTCGTTTAGCCCCTGGAGAGACTGGGCATGGCGCCACTCCAAGACTTTGTCGATGCGGGAGCTGCCCTGAGAACCGGCCATCCTTGCGCTGCTTACAGACGACACAGAGGGCCTTCTCGAGCGCACAGCGTGAAATCCGCATGGAATCCATGCGCGCTCGCCTCAACATCCCGTCTACCGCCTTCTGACTGACCATCAGTCCAATCAGTCACTTGTCAGGCCTCCGAACAGCTTGGTTCCCTGTGGCCTTCCACCGTACATTGAAAAAAAACCCTAGAAAACGCAATTCTTCAACAAATTAACAATAAAAACCACCATTCGATTGCTAATTAAATTTGGAATCTATTGGTATCTTGCCTTCCCTTTAATGACCATTTCATCCCTTTAATGACTGCCTGGAAATCTTGCATGTTGGCTAGCCCGTTTCCGTGCTGCTCACGACGAAGTAACATACAGGTTAAATTGATGGCGCCCGATTCGGCCCGATCCTGCCAGCGATATCCGCGATTCCCTCATCACATCGCGCCCACGCCCATCCCCCACTGAGTCATCTCCGGGGCCCACCCGCGGAGCCGCGGAGCCAGCCATCCCACAATACCCCTCGCTGCGCCACCCAGGCCTCCGGGCCGGTGCGTTTCACACACAGGGGCACCGCCGCAAACCCTCTCCGGTCAGATCGGCGGGAGACCCCTCCTCCGTAATCCCACTGGCTCAGATTGCCGCAGGCGGCCTTACGCATAGTCCTTGCCCACCCGGACCATCGAGTCCCAGCCGCTCGGATCTGGGGTATTCGGGTTAGGGGCTCTGGACCGAAAGGCCCCCGCCCTGAAAACTTTACGGGCAAACTGAAAGGCCTCAGGGAGGCGGCGGTTTTCCCCCGGCGGAAGGGGGCTATCCCCTTACGGGGACGCGCAGCCACCACACGGCTGCACCCCTCCATCGCCGGCCCATGGATGCTCACGGGGCTGCCCGTCACAGCGATGGCCATTGCTCCAAATTCTCAACGCAGGGCCCTTCCCTGTCTGTCCCTGAGTGAACTGCGCGGGTCGCCTGTAGGCGGGCTGGTGTTGCGTAGTGTTGCGGGGACCCACTGTTACGAATAGGATGTGGGTGTGGGGTTCCTGCCCTCTTTGAGCCGCGGACCCGCCTCGCCGGGCACCTAGGTCCTTACAGGGCACCTAGGCGGGACCACCCCTCCTACTCCCGTATCCTAATATGGATAAAGGTTACAGTGGGTGAGGAATAGTACGTGCCTTGGGCAGGGCGTCCCCCACACCAAGGGCCATTAGTAGGACGTCTCCCACATCAGGCTGGTGCGCGTAACATTCGTCCCCCTCAGGGAGAGGGGCGTCCTCGTCCCAGTATAAGTGAATACGGGAGCAGAAACATTGTATGTATGTTGGTGGAACTGGCTGTGCGATTTGCCACATGCCCAGTTAACAAAACACAACACACAAAACAGTTTTGGATGAAGAGAAAGAGTGGTTGTTTTACATGACCGTCCCGGCCTTCACAACCCTCATTAAAACTCTTCCTCAGCCAAGTGGCTGGAAATGTTTGACCTCCCGGCCTTTCATCGGCGACCACGATGCCGAGTACCACCAGCAGCCCACGCCGGTACAGATCGGCCCGGTGCGGCACCCCGCCGTCGCCCACGTCCGCGTGCACGCTCAGGCGCACGGGGAAATGGCACGTAGGGGTCGGCGGTCTCCAACCTCTCCCCGTTGAGGATCGCAACGGACATGGCGTTCATGTGTCCAAACTGCGACCTTGCACGGGGGGCAGTATACCCAGTGTTTTTCTGGGCCCAGCGCAAGAGAACCTGTCAAAAGCATAAGCACACATGAGCATGTTTCAGTATGTACATCCCGTACTTCATGCAGTTTGCATTCGCATCACAGGTGTTCTGCCATTTTCAAATGCTTGAACCAATTCCTGTGCATTTGCAACTGACTTTGCTGATTCCCAGCTGTTATGCTCATGTCCATATCCCAGCCATTTGACAAGGTACTCAACATAGTTTTTGCGTCTCCCACGCTTTTTAATCCTTTTGTCAAGGATACGTTCAACTTCATACTCCAGTTCACCTTCGATCTCGATAGGTACTGGGGGTGGCTGTACTCTGCCACTTGCCTTATAAGGCTTAATCTTCGATACATGAAATACTGGATGTATCCTATGCATGTTGTCCGGGAGTTCTAGTCGATATGCGACAGAACCTATCCGGTCGAGGATGGTGAAGGGCCCAATCCACCTCGGTAATAGTTTTCGAGTCCCAGGGTGTTTGAGAGTAATATGCTGTGTCGAAAGGAGGACGTCATCTCCTTT